TTCTAAACTAATCCAGTTTCCAGAAATGGTCCCAGTAAGTAAATAAATTTGTCACCTTGCTTAGCACATGAACCAATGCTTAAAAATTAAAGAAAATGACACAGACAAGTTGTTTGATTTTATTGTTTCAATTCATTGACATTATTTCTTAGGTTTATTAAATCCACAGGTCCCAGAAATGGTCCCAGATAGTCCTAAATAAATTTGTCACATTGCTGAACAAATATACCATCGCATAAAAGTTAAACAAAATAACACAGAGACAAGTTTTTTTCATCATTTTATTGTTTCAATTCATTACATTATTTCCAAATTAATCCAGTTCCCAGAAATGGTCCCAGTTAGTCCTTACATAAATTTGTCACCTTGCTTAGCAAATGTACCATTGCTTAAAAATTAAAGAAAATAACACAGAGCCAAGTTGTTTGATTTTATTTTTTTCAATTCATTACATTATTTCTAAAATAGTAATCCACAGTTCCCAGAAATAATCCCATTAGTCCTTAATTAATTTGTTACCCTACTCAGCAAAAGTACTATCAAACTTAAAAATTAAACAAAATAACACACACACAGGTTTTTTGGTTTTGTTTCAATTCATTACATTATTTCTAAATTAATCCCATAAATCCCAGAAAGGGTCTCAGTAAGTCCTAAACAAAATTTTAATCTTACTTAGCAAAAGTTCTATCAACTTATAAACTAAAGAAAGCAACACAGACACAGGTTTTCTGGTTTTATTGTTTCAATTCATTACATTGTTTCTTAATTAATTTCATCCACAGGACCTAAGTTAGTTTGTACTGGGGAGGGGCGCATTCCTATTTGAAAAATTTAGCGTCCAAAGAAACTCCAAGTATTCCTGTGCCAGAAAATGTTGGCACCCCGATTGGAACACTCAGGGTGTCTCAGACGGTTCATGTGCGGTTCAGTGGTCCTGCTAACATCTCATAGACGCTACCAAGCCTTTGTGTGGTAAATTAGAGCCAATTGGGTTTCGAATCATAAACTGAACTTACCAAACCAAAAGCCGAATCAAAAGCCGAAAGTAAAGTATGTTGCTTCACACTAGAATACACCACACATTTCAATCTAAGCGAGCCATCATAAAGCAAGTACATCTAGATATCAATTTGGCTTTAAAAGTTCAAATGACTGACTTACTAAATTTCATATAGCCCTCTGCATGCCGATAGGGATACAGGGCATTAACATTCCACTTGTGAAGCTTAGATTAAAAAGGATGATGTCCTCCAGTGTGATACAACAGACTTTTTGGT